TTTGTAGTAGCTCAGTTTGATTGTAAGACTGGCATTTGAGAATAAATTTTTCAGCTAAAAATAGTCGTCTTAAATGTAACGGAGGTTCCATAGATTCGGCTAGAAGATTCTTAGCGCAGAGCCTTATACTGAAGGCGGTCTAGTTTTTTAAGACGACTATTTGTGGCAGATCCGTATAAAAAGCATCCATAGTCGAGAATGGATCTGGTGTATGCACGATAAAACATTAAGTTAATCGATAGCGATTAACTACTTTAAGAATATTTAGACTTTTCTCACATTTCATTAAGCACTCGTTAATGTGTTCGTCCCATGTTAACTTGGTGTCTAATGTAATACCAAGATAAGTGTAGTGATTGTGAACGGGTATACTTAGGCTGTTAAACATAATGCTGGGTATAACTGGTAAACGATGTCGCGTAAAAAATACCACAGCTGATTTCTTCGTAGTAAGCTCAAACCCTTGTTTAAAGAAATACTCTCTTGCGTCACACATAGTCGTTTTTATTGAGTTAATACTTTGTTGGTATGAATTATTCACAGTGTAAAATCAGAAGTCGTCTGCATATTGTAATATATTGCATTTAATGCCTATATTGTGAAGATCTACTGTGTATAAATTAAACAACAGGGGGCTAAGGACAGAGCCTTGCGGTAGACCTTGATGCACTACTCTCGGGCCAATCAATCTATCGTCACATCGAATGAATACCTGTCTATTCAGAAATAGGTTTACTAACACATATGAACACAAAGGTGGAATACCTATGTGCTTTAGTTTTTCGAATAATAGATTTAAATTGACGTTATCATAAGCTCCTGAAATATCAAGAAATATGGCAGATAGATAATTATTATTTGAGAAGGATAACTGAATATCAGTTGTTAATTGAGACACACAATCCATAGTCCCTTTATTTTTACGAAAGCCATATTGACTAACTGGGAAAATATTTTTGTTTTTACACCACCATTCTAATCTGCTTTTTATAATTCGTTCAAATGTTTTAAGCAAACAAGACGTAAGAGAGATAGGTCTTAGGGCAGTACGCTGATTTACTTTGCGTATAGGAATAACCAAGCATTGTTTAAGAGAATCACAGTTGTCTCCTTTAAGTAAAATATTGTTGTATATTTTGCACAGATAATGTATGGCAATTACTGGCAAGTTTAAAAGCATGCTGTAGTTAATGCCGTCAATACCAGGAGCTGTATTTTTAGAACTCTTAATATTTGCTTTAAGTTCGTTAGCTGAAATGGGGGATTTCCAAAGCTCTGAGGGTGAAGTTTGCCTACTAAGTGAGGAATAAAATCGAGCCCAACTAGATTTGGCTTTGGAGCGGAATGTACATTTACACACAGCTTCATTCCTCTTATTTTCAATAAAGTTTGAAAGAGTAAGATTGGATTTATACATTTTAAAAGAATTTTTCCTTGCATTCGAAACTGTGAGACATTCATCATCCCACCATGGTGGAGTTTTAAAAGATTTTACTGAGGGTTTGATAATTTTAAAAGATTTGTTGGCTGCAGTAGTAATAGAATCTAATAAAAAGAATATCATTTCATTGGTTTCGTTTGTCTTTGATTCGTATCTGAAAGTGCTCTCTACAGAATCTCTAAATTTTTCCCAATTTGCATTGGACATGGACCATTTAATTGAAGGTGTGAAAATTGTGTTTTCAAATTTGATATCCTGCACGGAAAGTCTAATGGGAAAATGATCGGATCCATAGGTATCTGAAAGAACGGTCCGGTCAAAGGCTGAACATAAACTAAAGCTTATAATAGTAAGATCTACAACCGATTTGATATGTCCTGGAGGAGTAGCTCTAGTAGCCGACCCGTCATTTACAACAACTAGATTAGGAAATGCATCTAATGCTTCTACTAGTATATTACCATCGACGGAACATAAATTGGATCCCCATAATCCATGGTGAGCATTAAAGTGTCCGGTAATGATACAATCATTGTTAATTTGAGAAAAAAGACTAACGTAATCTTGCATTGTTACTCTAACTTTTGCTGGACGATACACACTCAGAATAGAATAAATTTTTTGGTCAATATTAATATTTACACCACAAACTTCGAAATTAGGATTGAAATTGTTAACGAATGAAATGGGCTTATAAATAATGTTATTTGCTAAAATTACGGCAACTCCTCCATATTCCTTACTTCTACTTTTATTAACTATATTAAAATTATTGAAGCAAACAGTATCAGATGGTTTGGACCAAGTTTCTGATAAAAGAGCAATGTCAAAACGTTCTTCAAAAAGTAATTGATTTAAAGAATATTTGTTTGCATTTAGCGAACGAATATTCCATTGAATAATTTTAATGCTTTTGGAAGCCATTAAAGTTATGTAAAAAGATTACCTATAATATCTTTAATTTTATTTTCTAATTCAATTTCGTACATTTTAAGATTAGATTCTACATTTGAGGAAGAATTACAATAATCCTGGATACTTTGTTGGATCAAATTTTTAAGTGAAGCACTCAGCTGACTGATAAACTTATTGAATTCATTAGGAGGATCAGGGTTTCCAAACTGAAATATAGATCCCGAACAGAAGCTGGTCTGGTATTCTCTACGAATAGGAGGAAAATTAGGAGTTGTATCACAATTTTTTCTTTTTTTGGGGGGACTAACTGTAGGGGAGGATATATGCTTGTGAGTATTATTATTTTTGTAAGCAGTGTTAGAATTCGAAGGTTTAGCAGAAGAGCTTTTTAATGGAGGGAAATCGTTGTCACAGGTAGTTAAGGGTGCAAATTTGTTTTTTTGAACTAAACTGGAATAACTTGGATTTTCAATAGCTTTTTCAGCTTCTTTAAACGAAATATTTAAGTTAGCCATAGCTTCTCTAGTTTTCTTTTGTTTTAAATATTCGGGGCATTCTTTAAAAATTGACTCGTGGTTATTATTTTTACAAAAAACGCAAAATGCAATACATTGATCAGGGCAACCAATTTTTCCTTCATTGCCGCATTTTTTACATCTTTTTTGTGACTTACATTGGGTGGTTGAATGACCATATCGAAGACAATTAAAACATTGCATAACCGGACTAACATATATTTCAACTGGACATCTAACTTTATTAATGTAAATATATTGGGGAATTAATTTAGCCTCAAAGCTAATTATGACCATTTGTCTAGGAACTCTTTCAGATATACCATTATCTTGAACTAATCTAGTCATTCTATAAACTTTTTTAATAGGAATATTAGACTTAATAGTGTTGAGCAATACATTCTCACTTAAAGTAGTATCCACTCCACGAACGAGACCTTTTTTTTCTGTTAAATAATTTGGAATATATGCTATTAGATTATTTTTTTCAAAAAAATCTTCTGTAACTAACTTATTAGCTACAGCACCTGAATCTACTTGAATTTTGATACGGTTTTTACCTACACTAACAATTTCTATAATATTTTTATCATAATTGGATAATGAAAGTAGTTTCTCTCCAAGTTTCATTGGATGCAAACGACCTATATTTAAATTAATATGTTGAACAAATATAAAAAAAGGACCATTATCACTAGAACTAAATCGATTAGCTGAGTTAAATACCTGATTTTTCTGAATATTTGTTTTAGGCGAAGTTGAACGCAAGTTTTTGCTATCAATATTGTTTTTAATATCATTCCTATCTCTAAATTCAATGTCCTCTACACCAGGATCTGGTGGATCCTTCCCAGAGATACCATTTTTGCCCGCGGACATAACGGGGCACGGCGTTTACAACAGTAACAAAAAAATTAATAAAAAATGTTTACTTACAGTACAGTTGACAGAGTACTGGAACTTAAAATATAAAGCAAGAAAAAACAAAATCGCTAAACACCCTGTATTATATCTTGAAACACACTTCTGCACTTCACAAGAGATCGAAATCTAATAAAAAAAAGACTTTAGAACTACTTAAATATATAAATTTTCCCGAGGAACTCTTAAACGCGTCCAAACACTTTGACAGTTATTTGACAGAAGATAAAAAGAGTTAAAAATGGAGTTTTAATACGAAAGACAGGGCAATTGAAGTACAGTACAATTCACATTGAGAACAAATTGAAAATCACAGACACATTATATATATATATATATATATATATATATATATATATATATATATATATATATATATATATATAATATATATATATATATATATATATATATAATATATATATATATATATATATATATATATATATATATATATATAATATATATATATATATATAATATATATATATATATATATATATATATATATATATATATATGTATATACATATATATATATATATATATATATATATATATGTATATACATAATATATATATATATATATATATATATATACATATATATATATGTATATACATATATATATATATATATATATATATATATATATACATATATACATACATATATACATATATATATATATATATATATATATATATATATATATATATATATATATGAGTGTGTATAACGACGCTAAGAATACAATTCTTTGGAGGGTAACTCTCGGGAAAGCGTCAAAACAAGGATCAGCTAGAGATGGTATAAGCCAGTTTGGTGTAGAACTTTATTCTAAATGTGAAATTTTCGGTGATATGTTGTCACCTTCATCAGCACATTGAAAATGTTCAGTTAGTCCTAGTGGTGAAGAACACTGTCACAAACATGTTAAAAATATTAAAAAATACATTTAAAACTTTGAATAAAAACATTACAACACAACAGGGTATTTTTTCAAATACAAACACAACAAAAAAATCTAAAATTTACCTAAGTAGGTAAATTTCATTATTGTCTAATAATTGTAGTGACCCCTCAATATCTTTTGTAACAGTTTGAGCAACACTCAATGGATCACGTGAACCATACGCGTTTTCAAAAAATGTAACGTTTCTTGGTAATTAAGAACAGTTTCGTTTGTGTCGACTTCAAAAAATACTTTTGTTGGCTGCATCAATTTCTGTATATCAATAGGATCTATTTTTGGGATAGTTTTCTTCTTTTTTAAACGCGTATCCTTAGCAGGCAGTATAAAGCATTCAGGAGTTTCAGGTTGTGTAACTGTTTCGGAGAAAGCTCTTTTGCTCTGGGTTTTCAGTGTAGGTTCTGTGCTAATTGGTGAAGTGATCAATGATTCATTAGTTTCTAATCCTATTTCATTAACGTTTGTACCCTCATTTGTAAGCGAGTTATCGTTTTTTGGCCTTGGTTTATTTACATCTACATTTTTATTTTTGCATTGTTTGGATTGAGTGTCTTGTACCAAACAATTTGGTTCTGAATGGATTTGTACTGAGTGTTCTGTTACGTCGATTATAATGTCTGCTGTAGTTACTGTGTTATTTATTATTGAACTGGAGTTATTGATTTTTTGAGGACAGTTTGAGGCGATATAGTCAATCTTTTTACAAATATAACAGGAGTGTTAGTCTACAGACATAAAAATTCTATAGTTTGTACTGTCATGACAAATTAACAAGGATTTAGGAAGTATTAGTTCCACTAAAGGTGAAATATATATCTGTCTACGAAAACTTAGTACATGTTGAAATTAGAGATGTGCCAATTCCAAGGAATGATAGGGGAGACATAAGTTTAAAGCCTAGTTGCTGTAGTTTTGATTCTAGAATACTATGTGGAATTGTTGGACATACATTGGATAATATTAGCCGTTCACTAGGAGTAATTAATCTTCTTCTTTGTTTTATTTGATAGTTTACTATGGTTAACGCAGTCAAATACATTTCGGTAGTCAATAAAACATACATATACATCTACATTCGTACGTGTGTGTGTGAGAGAGAGAGAGAGAAAAAGATCTCATTAGACAAAGAATCTTTTTGCCACAGAAAATTGTTATAAGGATGTTTAAATTTTTATTTTAGAATCGTTTATAAACTTGATTAGAATATTAAATATATATATATATATATATATATATATATATATATATATATATAGATATATATATATATATATATATATATATATATATATATATATATATAGATTTGTCAGAATAAGATAACAGATTGCTTTAACTGGTAGGCTAATATTGAAATAAATTAAACCTAAACATAGGCTTCGAGTATGTTCCCTATGATTAGAACAATCGAAAAATAAATGGTTTAAATCTCCGATAGATTTATTATTACAAGGACAGAAAGGAGTTTCATAGACTCCAATCCTATGCAGATGCTCTGGAAAGAGGCCATGGTTAAGTTTTAGCCGCGTTATTAATGAAGAATGTACTTTATTAAAGTTAAAATTAAAATGGGGAATATTGTTTTATAAGCATGGGTGAATAGAAAAGTAATGGTTTCCTGAAGTCTTCTGAACCTCTTTATATTTTGACATCCATCTTTCTCTGCCAATACTCATGATAATAGAAAAAATATCTTTAGTGTAGTCAAAATTTGTAATTTCGTATATCTCAGATGTATTTTTTGCCATACTGTTCACTAATTCGTTTCCAATTACTCCATTATGTCCTTTAACCCAAAGTAAATTAAGTGTTTTTTCTTTGTGAATTTTAGATCATGTAGGTAATAATTTTTTGATATCAAGTATAATGTAGATTTGAAAACTATCTAATAAATGGCTACTAATAGCTTGTAATACTGCCTGAGAATCTGATACTATTACAATGTTCTCACAATAATCAGTGACACACCAAGATAGTGCTTTCTGTATAGCAGCAGCATCGGCTGTAGAAATAGAACAACATTCAGGAATTCGATATTTCTTAACATAATTGCTGTTTGAAACATAAAAAGCGAAACCAGTACTTTCAACAGTTTTTGATCTATCTGTATAAATTATTGTTAAATCTTCCCCTAATTTGCTTACATCGAGTTAGAATCTATGGAGGAGCTATGAGCATATTAACGTGTGTATTAAAAACTGGGGTGCAGAGTTGTGTTATAGAGGTAGTACCTTTTATCGGAACGACCACATCGAGCGTCATAGACGGGAGATGGTTCTTGATAACTGGTCCTCATAAGACAACTAACTCTCACTTATGGCTCCACGTGCCACACCCCGGGCAACTGCATTGGTCTGCAGGCTAAACTAAGTGAGGGTAGCCAGATATGGCGAAAATTCCACCGAGCGATTGCCGGTATAAGCAATCCCCCACTTACCTACCAACGGCTTCGGGCGGATGAGTTGGTAAGTGGCAGGGCACTCTTTTGTCCTGAGATAGAGAAATCTGTCTCGAAGGCGGATGAATCAAGGAGTGGTCAACGGCGTAAGGATACAGAAGGCAACGGGAAACCACTGTATTAATGATCTTTAAGATTCCCTAGTATAATCATGATGGCAAATGTCACATCAATCACTCATGTTACTGATCATGGACCTCGGAGCCCAAGATCCGGCAGGAGAGGAAAACCACAGACAGGCCATAGGGCCTCTCAGGTCGTGAACCAGCGAAACCCCTGTGTAAGTAATATCAATCACCTTAAGATATTAAGAATAGCGACGTGGAATGTAAGAAGCCTCTTTGCAGCAGGTAAATTAAATAATGTAGCCCTTGAAATGGAAAACAGTGGAACACTTTATTATTCAGGCACCATCAGTTCAACTCATCGTTACGGTGTCGCTGTCTTGGTATCAAAGAAAATCAGTAACTGTGTAACAAGCTTTACTCCCTTCTCTGATAGAATAATGACACTACAACTTCAGTCAAATAAACAAATTATAAATATTATACAAGTATATGCTCCTACGGCTGATAAAGATGATGATGAAATTGAAAGTTTCTATTACGATCTGGAACAAATTCTAAAATCAATGAAGAAACATCATACTACAGTAGTAATGGGCGATTTTAATGGCAAAATTGAACATGGATGTGTGGACGGTTATGTGGGTAACTATGGATTAGGAGAACGAAACGAACGAGAAGACCGTATGGTACAATTTTGTCAAGCGGAGGAGTTAGTAGTTGCTAACACTCTTTTCAAGTTACCTAACAGACGACTGTACACATGGAAATCTCCGAGTGACACCAAAGGTAGAGTAGTCAGAAACCAAATTGACTTTGTCCTTGTTAGTCAAAAATTCCGCAACTCTATACTCTCAGCTAAAACCTACCCAGGAGCAGATATAGGGTCGGATCACAATCCTGTAGTAGTCACGTTAAGAATAAAACTAAAGATCATTAAAAAACACATACAGAAACAAATTGACGTGAGAAGACTGAATGAACAACATATAAAAGAGAAAACAATAGTGAACATTAAAGAAAATTTACAAGATATAGAGAAACTGAATAGAAATACTGATAACATAGACCAAAAATGGGAGAATATTAAACATGCCGTAATGTTGGCAGGGAGAGAAAATTTAACACCGAAAGAAAGGAAGCATAAAAACTGGATGAATGAGGAAATACTACAGTTGATGCGTGAAAGAAGGGCACACAAAACAACTAATCCGATAAGATACAAAGAAACAGATAAACTGATAAAAAAGAAAATAAGAGAAGCTAGAGAAAGATGGCTAAGTGAGCAATGCCAGGAGTGGGAACAATTGTAGCGAAAATATGACTTTTTGAATGTACACAAAAAGATTAAAGAAATGACAGAAAGGAGAAGAATAACACAGACAGGACAGATCAAAGATACAGATGGTATAATTATAACAGATTTACAACAAAAAATGAACCGATGGACAGAATACATATCACAACTGTTTGATGACAAAGATAGACAAGAAACCTTAAACGAATATACAGATGATACAGGGCCTGATATAATCAGAGAAAAAATAGAATATGCAATCAAACAAGCAAAAAGTGGTAAGGCCCCCGGTCCTGATGAAATTCCCGTAGAACTGCTCAAACTTATGGACGATGAATCTATTAAAATACTCTTAGATCTATTTAACACAATATATAGAACTGGAATAATACCTAGGGAATGGCTCCGTTCGACCTTTATACTACTGCCAAAAAAGGCAAATACAAAGGAATGCAACGAATATCGTACGATAGCTTTCATGAGTCATGCTGTAAAACTGTTCTTAAAAATAATCCATAATAGGATCTATAGGAAATTAGACGTAGACATCAGTAAAACTCAGATGGGATTTAGAAAATGGCTGGGTACAAGGGAGGCTCTGTTTGCAATGAACGTTCTCTCACAGACATGCTTAGACATGAACCAAGAAATTTACGCCTGCTTTATTGATTTCGAAAAGGCCTTTGACAAAGTACAACATGAACCACTAAGACAAGTTCTAATAAAGAAAAATATAGACAGCCGAGATATTCGAATTATATGCAATCTATATTGGAATCAAACAGCAAATGTCAAGTTTGAGGGCAGACTAACAGAAGAAATTCAAATCCGTCGAGGAGTCCGGCAGGGATGTATCTTATCGCCACATTTATTTAATCTGTATAGTGAAGCTATCTGTGAACAAGCACTCGAGGAAGAAGATCTTGGTCTGATAATAAATGGTGAGACGATCAACAATATAAGGTATGCTGACGATACAGTTCTCCTAACGGGAACGCTAGTAGAACTACAATATCTCGTTCAAAGTCTCAATATAGACTGTAACAGTTCCGTCTTGAAAATTAGTTTGAAAAAAACTAAATTTATGGTAATCACGAAATCAAAGAACATCAGAGCTAATCTTGTAATAGACAATACAACGATTGAGCGTGTGCCCTGTTATAAATATCTAGGTGCTTGGATCACAGACGATACTGATCAAACAAAAGAGATTATATGTAGAATAGAAATCGCTAGATCAGTCTTTAATAGAATGCGAATTTAATAGAATGCGCAAACTCTTTTGCAATCGTGATATCAATATAAAGTTACGAATACGAATGCTGCGGTGTTATGTTTTTTCTACCCTGTTATATGGAGTTGAGGCTTGGACACTAAAACAGTTGACCATAAAAAACATCGAAGCTTTCGAGATGTGGTGCTATAGGCGCATTCTCAGAATATCATGGATGGACCGCGTCACTAACACGCAAGTACTCCAAACTTTAGACAAAAGATGCAAAATTCTAAATGAGATAAAAACTAGAAAGATGGAATACTTGGGGCACATTGTGAGAGGTGAAAAGTACGAACTTTTAAGAAACATCATGCAGGGCAAAATTAAGGGCAAAAGAAGTGTGGGAAGAAGAAAAATATCGTGGCTTCGTAATCTACGTGAATGGTTCGGGTGTAGTTCGATTGAACTTTTTAGGCGCGCTGCTAACAAAGTCGCAGTGGCCATGATGATTTCCAATCTCCGCTAGGAGTGGCATGAAAAGAAGAATTAAAAACCGCGTA